ATAATAATAATAATAATAAAGATCATTTCTATGCCGCCCACGCCCGTGTGAACAAAAAACTCTAGGCGCTTTACATAAATGCATGTACGAACAATATTCATGCACGCACACGCACACGCACACGCACACGCGCACACACACGCATACACACACGCACACGCACACGCACACGCACACGCACACGCACACACACACGCACACACATCTACTCGCTTTATCATACGCGCACGCTTGCACATCGTTTCGAAATGAGCTCACACAAATACATAAAATATACAACAAGCAATTCGCAAAATACATAAATGGATACATAGTCATTTACATAACATGTACTGAACATGAATCTACTGACAAAAAAATGATATGTCTTTAAAGATACTATAAATTTAGACTCAGATGTTGTATGTCTCAAGGGTTGGGGGAGAGAATTCCAAACTGATGGAGCAAGGTGGGCGAACGATCTTTCAGCTAACTTTTACCTCCTTTTCTAGGAACTCTTAAAAGATACTAATTGTCTACACTTTGTGATCTAGATTTTTCTAGGTGGAACATAAATCTGGATGAGATCACTAAAATGGGAGGGAGCTTTGTTACTGACATATTGCAATTTTATATGGGTTCTAAAGGGTCAACAACGTGGGGTTGGAGCTAAGTCAAGATACGACTTTTAAATGGCTAATAACGTGAGGTTGAAACTAAGTCAAAATATATGGTTCTAAAGGGCAAATGACGTGGGGTGGGAGCTAAGTCAATACATGGATACTAAAGGGTCAACAATGTGGGGTTGGAACTAAGTCAAAATACAAGTTCTAAAGGGTCAACAACGTGGGGTTGGAGCTTAGTCAAGATAGGACTTTTAAATGGCTAATAGCGTGGGGTTGGAGCAAAGCAAAAATTTAATATATTGGTTCTAAAGGGTCAATAATGTGGGGTTGGAACTAAGTCAATATACAGCTTTTACTAAATCAAGATGCTAAAGGGTCAAAAACGTGGGGTTGGAGCTAAGTCAAGATACGACTTTTAAATGGCTAATAACGTGAGGTTGAAACTAAGTCAAAATATATGGTTCTAAAGGGCCAATGACGTGGGGTGGGAGCTAAGTCAATACATGGATACTAAAGGGTCAACAATGTGGGGTTGGAACTAAGTCAAAATACAAGTTCTAAAGGGTCAACAACGTGGGGTTGGAGCTTAGTCAAGATAGGACTTTTAAATGGCTAATAGCGTGGGGTTGGAGCAAAGCAAAACTTTAATATATTGGTTCTAAAGGGTCAATAATGTGGGATTGGAACTAAGTCAATATACAGCTTTTACTAAATCAAGATGCTAAAGGGTCAAAAACGTGGGGTTGGTGCTAAGTCAATATGCAAGTTCAAAAAGGTTAACAACATGAGGTTGGGGCTAAATCATGATACGGGTTCTCCAAAGTCAACAACGTGGGGTTGGAGCTAAGTCAAAATTCAGGTTCTAAAGGGTCAACAATGTGGGGTTGGAGCTAAGTCAATATACGACTTTCAAATGGCTGATAACGTGGAGTTGGAACTAAGTCAAAATACATGGGTACTAAAGGGTCAACAGTGTGGGGTTGGGACAAAGTCAAGAATCAAGTCCTAAATCGTTAACAATGTGGGTGTAGGAGCTAAGTCGGAATAATAATAATAATAGTAATAATAATAATAATAATAATAATAATAATAATAATAATAATAATAATAATAATAATAAAGATCATAATTTCTATGCCGCCCACGCCCGTGTGAACAAAAAACTCTAGGCGCTTTACATAAATGCATGTACGAACAATATTCATGCACGCACACGCACACGCACACGCGCACACACACGCATACACACACGCACACGCACACGCACACGCACACGCACACGCACACACACACGCACACACATCTACTCGCTTTATCATACGCGCACGCTTGCACATCGTTTCGAAATGAGCTCACACAAATACATAAAATAATATACAACAAGCAATTCGCAAAATACATAAATGGATACATAGTCATTTACATAACATTGTACTGAACATGAATCTACTGACAAAAAAATAATATGTCTTTAAAGATACTATAAATTTAGACTCAGATGTCGTATGACTCAAGGGTTGGGGGAGAGAATTCCAAATTGATGGAGCGAGGTGGGCGAACGATCTTTCAGCTAATTTTTACCTCCTTTTCTAGGAACTCGTAAAAGATACTAATCGCCTACACTTAGTGATCTATATTTTTCTAGGTGGAACATAAATCTGGATGAGATGGCTAAAATGGGAGGAAGCTTTGTTATTGACTCATTTATGACATAATATTGCAATTTCATATGGGTTCTAAAGGGGGTTGGGGCTAAGTCAAGACTTAGGTTCTAAATGGTCAACAACGTGGGGTTGGAACTAAGTCAAGATACAAGTTCTAAAGGATCAATAATGTGGGGTTGGAGCTAAGTTAAGATACAACTTTTAAAGGGCTAATAACGTGGGGTTGGAACTAAGTCAAGATACAATTTTATTGTTAACAAAGAAGATTTGAAAAATTAAGTTCTAGTGGGTCAACATTGAGCCTTCGGCACAATGTCAAGAATGTGTGATCTAAAGGGTCATCAGTGAGGGGTCAGAGAAAGTTAAACCATTCTTTATTCTTCCTCGTTCTCGAGGACACCAGCTAGTCAGTCCGATGTCGCGCACTTACTGCAGTCTGCTTCAAATCTGAGAGACTGCCATAGAGCTTTCTGTCAAGAGAAGTCACTTCTGCCACGTCTGTGTACGAAGGGCGGCGTAGCGCGGGCACTGCTGAAGGATATGGTTGGCATCCTCTTAGTCGTGTCCACATTCGCAGATCGCGGACTCTCCCACTTTTAATTTAGTGTACATATGGTGTTTTGAGTCTGTTGTGGCTACAACGGAGTCGAAAGGTTGTGACCTGGTCTGCTCTATTTAGCATGTAGTAATTGTTGTGATTAGGGTGGGATCTTTTCCGTCTGTTTCTTTTCGCAGATTTTATTAGCGTTTTTGACTGATAAATCCATGCTATCCTAAATGTGGGTCATTTTGGCTCCTTCTTTGGCTAAGTCGTCAGGGTTTTTTTCATTTCCATGAATGCCGCAGTGACCTGGTATCCACTGCAGAGTTGTGTTGGCTTGGGAGTTTAGATCACAAAGGAGTGAAAGGAGTTGTCGTACTTGAGCAGAATGTAGCTTTTGGAGAGCTTGTAGGACAGATTTGGCATCTGTGAGAATGACGGTGTTGGCTTTTAGATTTTTGGTGATTCAAAAGAATGGTGGCTGCCGTTTCGAGTGCTGATGTTTCTGCTTTTTAGTTGAAACATAGAGGTCCTGCGGGGATGGAATGGCTCTCTGTTGACCCATCTATCCACTCTATAGACACCTCCACCGCTGTTTTTGACTGCATCAGTTGCTGATCCATCTGTGTAAACGCGATTCCACCGGTTGCTTAGGAAGTCTATCCAGGAAGTCGAGTGTCAGTAACTTGAGTATCGGAGGAGGGACTGCAGATTTGGTGCCAAGCTCTTATAAGTTTTCTCAAATTTGAAGCAGGTGATTAGTCTGGAGAGGGTGGACTTGACACGGGTCTAGTGGGGTTGGAGATTCTTCAAGAGAGATTTTTCGAGTCCAGAGCTGGAGTGTCTGGCCATACGGAGGAGGCTTCTTTTCAAACGTTGAGGGAAGGGGGGGGGGTTTTCATGGTAAACGAACTTTTGAATAAGTATCTATTTCGTAGCACTAATAAAAGCTTTCAACTCCTGAACGTGTCACGCTGCTCCTGCAGATGGTCCTCCAGTTCTGCAGGCATTTCTCCGTCTTGCTGACTGTCTTCTGGTCCTCCTGTCCTACAAATAATCCTCCAGGTTTGTAGGAGGTCCTAGTAATGAAAACGTGTCAAAGAAAATCCTCTGAGATATTTACAGTTCAATATAAAAGTATTCATTAAAAATGTGGTACAGCGACGTTTAAGGTGGGTTACTAATAAAGTGCAGGTATTTTAGAGAAGCCTATATGCAAAAATAATTAAAAGCCAGAACCATCAGTGCAAATGTTCAAATTTTTTATAACAAAAGACAACGAAACAATGGAACAGTAGATAGCAATATTATGTACTATTTTGGTTTGAATCATATTAATCATAACAAAAGTATAATTCTTAAGTATATTTTCAGGACTTATAAATGGCAAGGGGCAGTATTTGAGAAACACCTAAATCTGGCTCATATGACCGTATGCCGTTGCGAGCGCCGTAAAACCTCTACTAAAATTAAAACTAAACTAAAAAGCACTTAAATGCAAAAATGGAACTTTCTGACTCACCAATGATTACTCTTTTACTTTACAGAAATCATAAGTCACATAACGTCTTACGTCAATGAGTAGAGTGCAGGACACATGTCAAAGGCAATTACCTTCTCAGGCTGTCCATTGTTCTTCACTATTTACGGTCTTCCAGTCCAATAAGTGGTCCAACAGGTTGTCCTGTCCTACTGGTGGTATCAGAACACCTACCACAGGAAGGTCAAGGGCCAAAAGAATAGATGACAGTTTGTTTGATCTGTCGGGTATACATTTTACCGCCCCACTGACACAATTCTGACAGTGCAACACCAACAAGCAGCAAGGAACCATCCAGTATACAAAAGTAACTTTCAACACTCAAGTTGAATATCAGCAAGCAGCTCTTCCAAGCCAGTTCTACTCCTGTCTCCCCCCTCCCCCACCCCCTTCTCCCTGAAAAGACTCAATCTACCCCTGCCGTCCCACCACCCCCCCCCCCCCCCTGGAAAAAAATGCTACACTGCCTCCCGCCATGGCCATGGCAACACTATCTACAAAATCCTACTCTGAACCTAGCTTATCTACCTAACTTCCTATCAACCTATCTTTACAGGAGGGAGGGGATGGCAGAAGCAGAATTGGGTGGGAAGAGCTGCCTACTGATTTTAAGCTTGAGTGTTGAAGTGAAAGTTGAATACTGGCTTGTTCCTTGCCCTTCTTGGTACTAAGTTGCCATAATTGATGCTGTAAAATGCATAATCAGAGGATCAAACAAGCACTGCCAGCTGTTTTTCCTTTGACCTTTTGTGGAAGACTTACTGATAACCCCAGTGTCCTGACCAAAATTCTGATGAGTGGCAGTGATCTGAGGGGAACAATGTCAAAGCGAAATCCGTTTGCATTACTATGTAATTTTGAGTTAAGGCACATTCATGTTAAAGCATCTAAAATATTTGATACGTGATTAGATCTATTTAAATTCAGTACAATCTATTAAAATGAGCAAAGCAGTACAAAAATATGTAGCATGTGACACAGAAAGGAAGTTTTGATCTTCAAGGACGTCTTTACTTCACATTGTGTCCTCCTTTCAATCAACTAAACATTACGGTACAGGTTTTCCCTACACTGGTGTGAAAAAAAGATACATGAACAATACAGGTTGAAAAGTAAGTATAACCTTCAAATGACCTTGAAACAAACAAATTGCTTCCATTTGAATTACGTCAAAAGCTAACGTTCAATTCAAAGGTATATTTTCAGGAACCATTAGACATGTCCAGGGGCAGTTTTTTTAGAGAAACCTTAAAATAAACATGAAACTTTTCAAGTTTCAATGAGTATTCTTATAAATGTTCAGTCATAATAGGTTGTTTTAAATACGTCTAAATAGGCCAAGACATCTGTCAACGACAAATACCTTTGAGGCTGATCATTCACCGCGTTTTGTTTCTCGACAATCCTCTGATCCTGTCGGCAATCCACCGGTGCTTTACTGTAGACAGTCCTGGGGATGAAACGTAATAGAAAATCCTCCAAAATGGATATAGTTTTATTTAGTTTCAAGGGTTAAAAACATACACTATACTGGCAGGGAAGAAGTAATTAAAGGCAGGTTACAAATACGACATGTCCTTGATTTTGAAAAGGGCCAAAATGAAAGCAAAACGAATCTACTATTCAAAGCCAAAGCGAACAGTGCAAATTTTCAATATATTCCTGCCGTGTAGACGATCCTGGTGATGATGCGTCAAAAAAATTCCTCTTTGGTTAATTAACAGTTTCAGATAATTCTAAGATTCCCTTTGTTGACACTGATCAATAAGACTAATGCTTATGAAAGGTGTTCACTTTAAATCTGTGTATTTTTTATGTGAGAGTTTTTACACCCCAGAAACGCAATTTAGATCACTTTGGGTCTAATTTCCGTCATTTAAAGTCAAACCCTGACTCATCGATAGGTATTCTAATTTAATAGTAATTTATAGCCATCATGAGTTGAATAATGTCCTAATATGGATCTTAAGTCTCAATGAATAGTGTTGCTAGACATACAATGACAAATACCTTCTAATGCTGATCATCATTCATCCCTTCTCGTTTCTTGACATTCTCGATAGAAACGGTCCATTTGTCGTGTCCTCGGTCTAATGGGCCCTGCAGGATCGTTTTGATGAAAGAAAAAAAAATGAACGTTTCTCACGCACCAAATAATATTTTTTAAATTGTTATATAAATAATATGTTACATAAATTCTTAATAAGTCAGTGAGCAGAATTGCAAGAAATATTACTTCAAAGACAATTACCTTCTCGGGCTGCCCATCATTCATCACTTCGTATTTGCGGTCTTCCAGTCATATAGGAGGTCCTTCGTACAGGCTGTCCTGTCCTACTGGTGGTATCAGAACATCTACCACAGGATGGTCAAAAGCCAAAGAAACAGCTGGCAGTGTTTGTTTCCTCCACTGAGTATACATTTTACAACACCACTGATACAGTTCTTACAGTGCCACACCAACACGCTGCAAAAAACAACCCAGTGTGCAAAAGTCACTTCAACACCCAAGCTGAAAATCAGCAAGCAGCTCTTCCCAGCCAGTTCCACTCCTGCCACCCCCTTCTCCCTGAAAAGACTCAATCTACCCCTGCCGTCCCACTCACCCCCCCCCCCCCCCCCCCAAAGAAAAAAAAAATCCTACACTGCCCCCTCAACTCCCTCCCGCCATGGCCATGGCAATACTATCTACAAAATCCTACTCTGAACCCAACCTATCCACCTAGCTCCCTATCAACCTATCTTTACAAGGCCACAGCAGTGTAGATAAGAGTCATTTAAAGGGGGAAGGGGTGACAGAAGTAGAATTGGGTGGGAAGAGCTGCCTAATGAATTTGTGCTTGAGTGTTGGAAGTGAATTTTGGATACTAGCTTGTTCTTTGCAGTTGTTGGTGCTGCACTGCCATTACTGTTACAACGAGGCTGCAAAATGTATACTCAAAAATGGATCAAACAAACTCTACTAGCTGTTTATTTGACCTTCTACCTGCTGTGGTAGACTTACTGATAACACCAGCACCTTCTTGCGAAAAGTCCGATGAGTGACAGTAAACTGAAAAACAATTTCAATGTTAAATCAGTTTGAATAACTAAATTTTGAGTTAAGGCACATTCATGTTGGAGCATCTAAATTATTTGATACGTGATTATTTAAATAAGTAGTAAAACATGCTGCATGTGACACAGAAATAAAGTTTTGTTCTTCAAGGAAATGTATAAACATTACATTGAGTCCACCTTTTAATCAATCTTGAAATGACACTGAGGCAAACATCTTCTCCCTTGAATTACATCCAGCACAAGCAACATTTGTCTTTTTGCAGGAGCCATTGGACAGGTCCAGGGTTGAGAGAAACATGAATGTTTAAAACAAAACTTTCAAGTTTACCTAGCTTTGGGTGTTCAAATTGGGGGGTTTTCAACGTCTAAATAGGCCAAGGCATCTTTCAAAGACAACTACCTTCTAGGGCTGATCATCCTACACTTCTGGTTTTTCGATACAGTGGATATGGACCATCTTCTGGTCTTGTAGGCGATCAACCGGTGCTACAGGCAGTCCTGGAGATGAAAACAATGTGTCAAAGAATAATTGATTGAGTACAATATGTCAAAGATTGATTGAATGGTTGAGTATGTGTTTTACGGCATTGTCGTGTGTCCAAGAAAATCCAACATCTCGTGTTTTATTTAGTATCATAGTATAAAAACATTCTATATTCTGCCGTCAATAAAGAAAATCCAGAAATTTGAAATTTCCTTATTGCTCAATTAGATAAATTAATGCTTATGAAAAGTGTTCAACTTAAAAGTTTGTTGGGTTTTTTTAGTGTGGGAGTTTTTTACACCCTCATCAACACAATTCAGATGCCTTAGGGTGTAGATATCCGACATTTCACGGTGAAACCTAACTCATCAATGGATATTCTAATGTTATAGACATCATGAGTTGAATAATGTCCTTATAATAATGGAACTTAAGCCACAGTGTATAGTGTTGCTAGACATACTTCAATGACAAATACCTTTTAATGCTGATCATCATTCATCCCTTCTCGTTTCTTGACATTCTCGGTAGAAACGGTCCATTTGTCGTGTCCTCGGTCTAATGGGCCCTCCAGGATCGTTTTGATAAAAGAAAAAAAAAATGAACGTTTCTCAGGCACCAAATAATATTTTTTAAGCTATTTCATTAATGATAAGTTAAATAAATTATTGATAAGTCAGTGAGCAGAATTGCAAGAAACATTACTTCAAAGACAATTACCTTCTAAGGCTGCCCATCATTCATCACTTCGTATTTGCGGTCTTCCAGTCACATAGGAGGTCCTTCGTACAGGCTGTCCTGTCCTACTGGTGGCATCAGAACATCTACCACAGGATGGTCAAAAGCCAAAGAAACAGCTGGCAGTGTTTGTTTGATCCACTGAGTATACATTTTACAACACCATTAATTCTGAGAGTGCCGCACCAACACGCCGCAAAGAACAATCCAGTGTGCAAAAGTCACTTCAACACTAAGCTGAAAATCAGCAAGCAGCTCTTTCCAGCCAGTTCCACTCCTGCCACCCCCTTCCCCCTGGAAAGACTCAATCTACCCATGCCACCCAACTCACACTCCCCCCCCCTCCCCCCAAAAAAATTCCAACACTGCCCCCTCAACTCCCTCCTGCCATGGCCATGGCAATACTATCTACAAAATCCTACTCTGAACCCAACCTATCCACCTAGCTCCCTATCAACCTATCTTTACAAAGCCACAGCAGTGTAGGTAAGAGTCCTTTAAAGGGGGAAGGGGTGACAGAAGTAGAATTGGGTGGGAAGAGCTGCCTAATGAATTTGTGCTTGAGTGTTGGAAGTGAATTTTGGATACTAGCTTGTTCTTTGCAGTTGTTGGTGCTGCACTGCCATTACTGTTACAACGAGGCTGCAAAATGTATACTCAAAAATGGATCAAACAAACTCTACCAGCTGTTTATTTTA